GAGGAGGGTGCCTCTTAGGGCTTCTTAGGGCTTCAACAAGAGTGCCCTCCTTGAAAAGTTAGGGTTTAGGGTTTAGGGTTTAGGGTTTAGGGCTTAGGGCTTAGGGCTTAGGGCTTCGGGCTTAAAAGGAGTGCCTTTCGTGAACAAAAAGGGTAAGAACAGGTTATGATGGAGACCACTCACTCCAGCTCCGGGATTGGAGCTGCGAGTTTAGCCATACTTCATAACGTAAGGGGTCGCGTGCTTGCCTGCAAGCCTGCAACCCCCTAAAACCTAAATCGCAGAATCTCCCGCCATTTAGGTCACTGACCATGTGGCCTGCTAATGTGAGGCTCTCCCGACACCCTTAAACCCTGAAGCCTGACCCCACTTTGGAGTATATACTTTTTAGGTAGAAGTAGCTCTAATAGGAACCCAGAACCAAGAATGTCTTAAAGTGTGGTACTCCAAAACCAAGCCTCTACCCTTTTCAGAGCGTCAGTGCGCACATTCCGATGCCGCTTGCTTTGCTCGCGTCCTGCGATCTGCTCTTGCCGAGGTATTCCTCAGCCGTCGGGCGTTTGGAGGTCACGGGTTTAGGGCTTGGAGGGTTGATAGATTTAGGGTGCATTGCAAGTGCGGTTTAGGGTTTAGGGTTTAGGGTTTAGGGTTTAGGGCTAGGGTTTAGGGCTGCGAAGGAGCCTCAGACATGCTGAGGGGAGACACCCATGGACGCCGGAGAAGCCGACGCAGGAAGGGGTGCACGGACATCCTTTGGGGTTTAGGTTTAGGGTTTAGGGTTGAGGGTTTAGGGTTTAGGGTTTAGGGAACTCCTCAACCTGAAACCCTCAAACCCTCAAACCCCAAAACCCGAAAACCCGAAACCCCAAAATCCCAAACCCGAGAACCCCAAAACCCTGAGACCCTAAGACCCTAAACCCTCTAAGACACTAACACCCTAAAACCTTCCTTCCTTCCTGGGCTTGCGGCGAGTCGATTGCCGGTGCGGGCCAAAAGTGGGCGGAATTCACCCACAGCCAACAGTGAAACAAGGAGTCACTACATCAGAGAGAGAGAGAGAGAGAGAGAGAGAGAGGGAGGGAGAGGGAGAGAAAGCCCTTAAAAACCCCAAAAAACCCAACAAAACCCTACACCCTGGCCCCAAGGACACCTCAGCGAAGCGTCTGGCAAAGGACGTCGTAGGTGGCAGTCTTGAATCCTGAGGCTTGTGAGGCCCTCTGGCCCCCCGGAGAACAAGCATCCTTTGGGGTTTAGGGTTCAGGGACCAGATCATGCAACCCTAAACCCTAAACCCTAGACCCTAAACCCTAAACCCTGAACCCTGAACCCTGAACCCTGAACCCTGAACCCAACACCATACAGCACCTGCACCAGGCCCCGGAAGTGCCAACCTTACAAATCCCAGAGCCCATAGCCCCTGAAGGCCACAACCCGGCCTTGACCCTGTAAACCCAATAATCCTACGCCCTGTAAACCCTGTAAACCCTGTAAGCCCTCAAAACCTTGCAAAACCCTATAGACCCTACAGACCCTGCAAACCCTACAAGCCCTAGAAACCCTATAAACCCTCTAAACCCTCACCCTCATCACCCTCAAAGGCCACAACCCTCAAAGCCCTACAGGCCCTACAGGCCCTACAAGCCCTCTAAAACCCTCTAAAACCCTCAAAAACCCCTCAAAAACCCCTCAAAAACCCCTCAAAACCCCTCAAAAACCCTCAAAAACCCTCAAAAACCCTCGAACCGAGCAATGTCTTGGGGTTCCGAGGGGCGGCCGAGGGCCCAGGACGAGGAAGTGGGGGAGGCGCGCAGCGCCAGTAGCCGCCGAAGGCAGGCCACCCCCTCCTTTTCAAAGGACCCTAAACCCTGAAACCCTGAAACCCTTAAACCCTTAAACCCTTAAACCCCTAAACCCTAAACCCTAAACCCTAAACCCTAAACCAATCACCCCCTCCTCTCCGAAGGTGCTTTTGGGGTCATAGGTTGAAGGAGGTGCATAGGGTTGATAGGGTGTTAATCATTTAGGTTTTATAGGATTTAGAGGGTTTATGGGGTTGATAGGTTTTTCAGATGCAGCTAATAAACAACCCAATCACCCTCTCCTGTGCGAAGGTGCTTTTGGGGTTGATAGGGCGTTCACCGGTTTAGGGTTTATAGGGCTTATCGGGTTTATGGGGTTCATAGAGTTTATAGGGCTTATAGGGCTGGTAGGGTTTATAGGGTGTTTAGGTTGATAGGGTTTATGGGTTCATAGGGTTGAGAGGGTTTTCAGGGGTTATAGGGTTGATAGGGTTTACAGGCTTTGTAGGGTTGATAGGTGACAGGGTTTGTGGGGTTTGCAGGGCTTTGTAGGGTTTCAAGGGCTTCTAGGGGTTTCATATAGGGTATCTAGGGCTTCTGTAAGGGTAAGTAGGTTTTCTTTGTTGGGCGTTCAGGGCTCACAGGCTTATAGAGCCCGAGCTCCTACATCCTAAAGCAACTTCACCCTGAACCCTAAACCCTAAACCCTAAACCCTAAACCCCCAACCCCAAGACTCCTTGAAGGTCTTCCCGGAGGCGCGGCGTGTCCAGGAAGCGAAAAGCTCCTCGTCGCCATTCCGAGAGGTCAGGTACGAAGAGAGGATCCTTGGCGATGGCTGGGGTTAGGAAGGGTTTAGGGTTTAGGGGCTGTAGGGTTTAGGGTTGAGGGTTGAGGGTTGAGGGTTGAGGGTTGAGGGTTTAGGGTTGAGGGTTTAGGGTTTAGGGCTGCATACGCCATCACAGGGATTCCCCACTGGGGATGGCCCTTAAAACCCTCTGAACTATACTCCTGAATCTGATTTTGTAAAACCCAAGAAGGGCAAACATGAAATATACCAAAGGCCTACCTAGGACGTGGGAGTGTTCTACATGCTGCATACACACATGAAGTTGAACATCCAAATCCCTGAGGTGCGAAGTGATGCGTGGGCGGACAGATGGATAGAAGGTAGATTGATAGTTAGATGGATGGACGCAGGGACAGAGGGACAAATACCTGCAACGACAGGTAGCTGGTGCAGCGGGCGCCCGTTGCCTTCTTCTATTCGGCTTTTTCTTTTTGTGGGAGTTCAGGTTTGCTTGAGGGTGAGTTGGTAGTCCTGTCCTTACTAGGACTTATACTACCCCTACTATAACCCGCAGTATAAGGAACATCCCAATCTATAGAATTAGGGCTTAGGGCTTCTTATGCCTTTCACACTGGCGAGTCGAGTGACAGCGTGCTGGCTAAAGCTCGCCATGCATCCACAGGCCCCACGGATGCGAGTTGGGGCTCCTCTTCTGAGGTCAACTAGATGCTGCTCAAACTCTTCCAAGTCTCTCTGGAACATCTCTATGCAGTCCTACATATATATATATATATACACACACTTGTGTATATAAATAAAAAAGTATATATATATATATACATACCCACACATGCTTTGGGAAACGATCTAGAGTGCACATATGTATATATATATATATGCAAAAAGCTGTATTTTGCAACTTCCTTCTCAAGAATGGCTCAAACGTTCGTCCTCTGAGCGCAATGATCGTGGTTCTTGCGCCGGTGAGCTGCGAAGCCTGTCAGCATCTAGAGCTCGATTTCATGAGAATGGGTGCTTAGGTATAGGGCTTAGGGCTTAGGGCTTAGGGCTTAGGGCTTAGGGTTTAGGGTTTAGGGTCTTGTATTACAATTCTGTAGGCGCTATAGGAGATTAGGCTCCTGTCATCTCTGACGCTCAGTCGATGATTTGGCTTCGGCCTGTTTCATCCTCCGCATGCAACACCCTCCCCTCGAATGATGTATGGTTTAAGGTTTAGGGTTTGGGGTTTAGGGTGTAGGGTTTAGGGTTTAGGGTTGAGGGCTGGACTCCTTGAGCCGTTCCAGATGCTCTGGTGCATGGAGTGTGCATCGGAGCAGCCAGTACTTTGTGGCTCCGCTCGCAGGGCTCAGCAGCGCGTAGTGTCCTTACAGCGCAGCTGTGTCAGGTTTCAAGGCATCTCGCTTGAAACATGGATTCCGTGATGTACGAAACGCCAAACCCTAAACCCAAAACCCTCAACCTTAAACCCTAAACCCTGAACCCTAAACCCCAAACCCTAAACCCTAAAAGCCTGAACCCTAAAACCCTAAACCCCAAACCCTTACAAGCCCTGAGCCCTAAACCTGCAACCCAGCGTCTGAGGCAAACGTCCAACTCCTGCACAGCTTCCGCCATGGCGCGCTGAGGCGGCACAAGGCGACCATGTGGGGGTTTACGATAACAAGGGACCCGAATATCGACTCCCAAATAGTAGGATTTTAGGGTTGAGGGTCTAGGGTCTAGGGTTTAGGGTTTAGGGTAGATCCCCTCATAGAAAGGACCCCAAGAAGGTACCCCCTAATATCGTAAACCCCCCATGTGTTAGCGCCGGGCCGTCGGTATGACGGTTCGGTGCAATCTTAGGGGCCAGGGTATAGGGTTTAGGGTTTAGGGTTTAGGGGTGGGGGGTCCGGGGGGGTGTTCGGAATAAGGGTCTCTCTTGAGGAACCCAGTTAGCCAGTTGTAGCTCACGTACCCCCGACGCCCAGGTACTACCCTTTAAGATTAGCACCCCCACCCTTTGCACCCTAAACCCTCGACCAGGGGATGTTTGAAGGGGTTAACGGTCCCCTGAACTTCCTACCGCGGAAATTGGGCAAGAATGCGGTTGTGAGGCAACTTTCACGTTTAGGGTCCTGCACATAGAGATACCATAAACCCTAACAAACCACAGCTTTAGCTTGTAAACTCACGTTGGCATTTCCCAGAATAGGGGTACCCGCCTCTACTACAACCCCAGAATTCATAATCCGCCTTATTCTAGGAAACCCATTAAAGGTACCCCTAGGTTGGGAACCTTCGTAGCCGCCTCTATGCCCTGAACTGTAAGCCTCTAAGCCCTAAACTCTAAACGTAAACTCTAAAACCCCCAACATCAAGCATCGCAAGTCCATGTCGTAGCCGAGGCCATCACGTCATGCGAGGAGTCATGGACAACTGCCTCAGACGAGGCTCAGTGTTCAATATAGGGGTCGGAAAAATAAACTTATAGTGTTCCCGTATGTGTGGTTTGAATGCTTGCAGAAGGCCTTGCGGGTAGGGTTATGATTCAGGGCATAGAGTGTAGAGTTTACGGATTGGGGCGGCTGGCTTTAACTGTTTCTTCGTGGCTGCGGATGTTTCCCTGGTCGGTCCTTAAGAATCCCCCCCCCCAAAAAAAAATATGAAAGCATTCTTTCTTATCAGGGCAGGATTGGAATTACTATCTTTGATTTGTTGGGGGTTCTTAAGCAAACAGTAGTAACCCCTAAAGCCCTACACCTTGCCCTTGCAGCTCCGCGCGAGTGAGGTTTAATTAAGCTCAAGACCGGACCCTCACCCTACATTATCCCTTAGGTCCCTTATACTTGGAGGTTCATGGCACTTATTAACCAATGATAACTGTACTCATAACTGTACTTATAAGCGTATAAGTGCACTTGAGGGGCTTATAAGTGGGTTCTAAGTACAGTTATAGTTGGTTAATAAGTACGATGAACCTCCAAGTAAGGGGTCCCTCCTTTAGTCCCTTGAGAGTTGCATCTTGAACTGCATGCCTTGACACTTTGCGCAACGTATTTGGATCGAATCGTTGAGGCCCTCCAACCCCGAACCCGAAACCCCAATAAACCCTAAACCCTGAACCCTAAACCCGAAGTAGGGCTTAGGGTTCGGGGTCCGGGGTTAGGGTTACCACTAGAGCTCTGAGGAACTGACAGTAGTCTCGGTGAAGACAACACTTTCATGGCCTGCACGACATCGGACTTCTCACAGGCTTGGCTGTTGGGTTTAGGGTCCGGGTTTAGGGTGTAGGGTGTAGGGTTTAGGGTTTGGGGTTTAGGGTGTAGGGTTTAGGGTTTGGGGTTTAGGGTTCAGGGTTTCGGTTGAAGAAGGGCGAACATGGGTGAACATCTACAAATACTCGGGGGGTGACTCCTCGAAGTCATGGTTTCTCTGGTTTAGGGTTTAGAATCCAGACTAGACTGTGCGCAGGTGGGGTGTGGGGGCCTTTTCGCTATCTATGCACAGAATTGAGGATCAGGAAAGTATCCTCCAACATCTGGGGAGTGGGGCTTCCAACGTTAGCAGCCTCCAATACGGTTTCCTTGCCAATTCACTATTTGGGAGTTTCCGAAAATAGAGGGACACTTTTTGGGGGTCCCTTTAAGGGGATTCTAGTCTATTTGGGGTATAAACGGGGTACCACATTTTGGAAAAATACATTTCTGGAGGCTGTCCTCTTCGTAGGCTATGGACGACGTGGATAGCAGGGGACATTGTGCGTACAGCAGCGGCGAGGAAACGCAAAATGATGGAGGTGACGAGCTGTCGGGACTTCGTGCCCTCTCGTGTATCACACAGCCAGGAAGTTGAATCTCCCAGCTCAGGCAGACATTTCCTACCAGAAGTCCTTACCGTCTTCGTTTGTTTGGCTTTTGGGCAGGGAAGCCTGTTTTAGGGTTTAGGGTTCAGGGTTTAGGGTTTGGGGGTTTAGGGTTTAGGGTTGAGGCTGTCCCTAGTCGTCACCTGAGTCCGAAGCTCCCATGCTGAGGGCAAGACGGCCAGAGGAGGCAGCCCTCTGGGCGTGCCACCCTGGTCAGAGGCGAAGGAATGCTGGGATTATAGGAATATAGGGGGCCCCCCACTCTAGATCCCCAAAGAGTAGGATGCCCTGATACTAAGCACCCCCACTAAGGTACCCCTAATATCGTAAGCCCTCATGACATTGAGGTATTTCCTTGGAGTTTAAGGTCTTTTGCATGGCCGTTTAGGGTTTAGGGTTTCGGGTTTAGGATCGCCTCCAAGGCATCAAGCGGCCTGTTCATTTTCTCTGATGGTTCATACAGTGGCTGCTTGCCTGAATTGGCCTTCTAAACCTCAATCCTCTGAGAAAAGATTCCCCAAAAACCCTGAACCCAAACTGCGGTTGCTTGTTGAGTCTGGGCTGGCACACAGAGGCAACCCTAAACCTTAAACCCTAAACCCTAAACCCTAAACCCTAAACCCTAATGCCAATTTGGCCCTAGGAGTCGAAGCTAGCAACGCCGCAGTTCAGGGTCAGAAGAGGCAGCCATGCTGGGGTTTAGGGTTTAGGGTTTAGGGTCTAGGGTCTAGGGTCTAGGGTTTAGGGTTTAGGGTTGATCCTGAGCTCCTTTCGCAGCTCAGTCTGTGGCGACGACTACCTCCTTAAAGTGGCCATGGTGCCGGAACTTGCTGACGCTGACCTTTCGAGTCCTGCAAACCTCGAACCCTGCAACCTACACCTAAACCCTAGATCCTAAACCCTAATCCCTAATCCCTAAACCCTAAACCCTAAACCCTAAACCCTAAACCCTAAACCCTAAACCCTAAACCCTAAACCCTAAACCCTAACCCTAAACCCTAAACCCTAAACCCTAAGCCCCAAAGACAGCATGCAGGAAGGAGCCTTGGAATCGTTGGTCGGCCTTGGCACGTGAAGATCAACCCAACTTCAAACCGAGGGTCGCCTCATTGTCTGGGGTTTGAGGGAGTAGGGTTTAGGGTTTAGGGTTAGGGTTTTGGGTATAGGGTTCAGGGTTGAGGGCACAATAAACACAACCAACGGCCAACCCAAACCGGCCCCCAACACTTTTTTAGGAGCCTAAATATCATCGCCCCGCATCCCTAACGCAGACGACCCCAACTACCCTTATATTCTGCTTGAATAGACCCTAGAATTCCTTATTTCTGCAGTTCTGCGACAATTTCACCAGGAGCGAGTTTGGAACTCGGGTCATCCACCCATCACAACGAACCAAGACCTACGCACTTCGCCCACCTGTTTTGCCCGCAGTTGCTCAATGCATCGATGCTCTGGACAGAGATCGTTGGAGCTAAGCTTGAATTTCTTTAGCTTTTGAGAGCATGAGAAGTGAGTGAAAGTTGCTGAAAACTCGATGAACTTGGTGTAGAGTGCATGCTGGTGCATGTTAGCTTAAGTGCTGAGCCTTGTCGCGAGCCGCCGCACTTGTGTCAGCGGCCTCGACAGCCCACGGGCTAAGCGAGCTGGCAGCAGCAGGAGCGGCTGAGGCAGGGCGCGGCTCCAAATGATCATTGCTCTGTTCCTCACTCGACTCCGAGGCAGGGACGGTCGTCCAGTGAGACTGTACCTCAGAGCTGCCTGCCGCCGGACTGATCTCAGCGGCGAAGGGGTTCAAGCTGTTGTCGACCTCCTGCGCCTCCTCGTCGTCCTCGGCAAAGGGGTTGAAGCGGTTCGGCGAATCGCTGGGGGACACCTGGCTGGGCGACACGGTCGACGGCGCGCTGTGCGGCAGCGCCAGCGTGGTCGCCGTGGGCGCCGTTGAGCCGTTGCCGTAGGCGCCGTAGGGGGACGCCAGCGGAAGGGCCAGGGTGGAAGACATGGTGGCCGTGAGGGCGCGCGCGTGATCTGCCAGCTGGGGCCGCCGGTCCGCGCAGGCCCGGAGCCCGCGCTGCGCCACCTGACCGGCCTCCTCCGTCTGCGCGGCCGCCTGCTGCAGCTTCTCGCGGTTGCGCTCCAGACGGGCCTGTGTGGAGGGTGACGGCTTGCCAGCTTTGTTGCCCCGATCCACCTCCTTGGCCAGTTGCTCCACCTTCTCCTCGTAGTGCTTCGTCAGGGCCCTGGCCTCCTCAAGGCGCTTCACATCCTTAGTAGCCCAGTAAGGGTTTAGGGTTTAGGGTTTAGGGTTTAGGGTATAGGGTTTAGGGTTTAGGGTTATGATGAGGGCACCCTTTTTGGGTGAGTTGCTTGATAAGGGAACCTTGAACCACAAAAAAAGGGTACAGGGTGCCACTGGGCTACCAAGCATCCGAGGCACAGGCCGTCAGAGTGTTGAGGTGGGCATTCAGGGGCATCTTTACAGCCTCCGTGCCCTGACGCACACGAGCCAGCGTGGATCTTAGCGCCTGGAGGACCAAAGTCGTTCCTGGGCAGAGCAGCTCCAGTCCCACATCCGACAGACCTTGCTGGGCTTCAAGGAGCCTTTGCACCGCAGACTCCAAGGCTGTGCTGTAGGACGTCAGATTCTGGGTGAGGGTTCGTTGCCACTCCAGCTCTTTCAGAAGCTCCTTCTCATCCGAGGGCACATCGCGATCCGGATCCAGGCCAACCCACTGCCGCGTGGTGCTGTGCTTCTGCAGCGTGTGCCTCAGCGCCTTCATGGGTCTGCCCTCGCAGACGGCACGGACGCCGAATTTCAACTGCTAAATAAAGTGAGCTGCCGTTTTTGTTAACGGTCCTGAGCCCCATGCAGTCTCTGCCTTCATGAGCCTTTATTCGGCGAAAGATTAGGGCTGGCGTTTAGAGTGTGCGGCGATTTGCAGGCTTGCAAATCGAGGCCCAACGCTTCTTCACTCTGAGTTGCACAAGCACAGTCAGGATGATGGCCTACTGCCCGCGGACGGGCTCTGTTCGAGGCGTGTATGCAAGGTGCATGGATGATGGGTCTGGTAGTCATGTATCTACAGCACGTGCCTTGCAATCCTGGCAGCCCAAGTATCTACCGAGATCTGGAGAGGCCGTAGATCTACTCTGTCATCATCACTGAATGTACTTGGAGGTTCACGGTACTTATTCACCGTCTAACTGTACTTGTAACTAGCCCACCTGTAACCCCCTAAGTGCCCTGATATGGTTATAATTCCAGTTATAACTGGTTCATAAGTACCATGAACCTCCAAGTAGGGTTTTAGGGTTTAGGGTTAGGGTTTAGGGTTTAGGGTTTAGGGCTTAGGGTTTAGGGTTTAGGGCTTAGGGTTTAGGGTTGAGGCTTCCCTGGATGTGTGCCGGGATGTCCGGCAGGCCAGCAAGGTCCAGGCCTGGCCGCGTTTGCCCGCTTTTCGAATCTCGGAGCCGACTCAAAACTTGTGGTCCCCTATACGCCCTAAGCAGTCTCGTACTACTTCATCCTGATCGCACCCCCCCCCCCCCCCACAAGGTAGCCAGAACCCCAGGTTCACAAGCCTTGTGGAGAGCGCAAATACGACCAGCTTCCGTTCACACTCAGCACCCTCTCCGTGCACACCATATCATGTCTGGGGGCGCAAAAAATAGCAAGGGGCTTCTAAGCTACCTAAACCCTAAACCCTAAACCCTGAACCCTAAGCCCAAAAACCCTGAACCCTAAACCCTAAACCCTCAACCATAAACCCTAAACCCTAAACCCTAAACCCTAAACCCTAAACCCTAAACCCTAAGCCCTTCAGGAACCCGAACCCTCACATCGCCTGCCGCCTCCCGCGCGTGTTTGAGGTCCAACTCCATTTGCTCGATCTTGGCGGGTGCGGCTCTTGCTGAGCTTGGGGAGCAAGGAAGTTTACTAGTTTAGGGTTTAGGGTTTAAGGTTTAAGGTTTAGGGGTTAAGGTTTAGGGTTTAGGGTTTAGGGTTTAGGGTTTAGGGTTTAGGGTTCAGGGGAAAACCCTCTGCTCAGGGAAGCTCATGGCTTCGAACAGAACAGCCTTTCATTTCAAGACCAAGACTTCGAGTCACTCTCTAGCTCCCTGAGCATGCCGTTTCCGTATCCTTCCAGAACCGACATATCTTGTAGGGCCCCCGAAAAGCTGAAATATGGGGGTTTCCGACGTCAAGGGTATCTTCTTGGGGGCCCGTGTTATACTTACAAGGGAACCCTACGATGGGGACTATATTACCTGTCCCGTTTTGGAAGGTTAGATGCAAGACTCAAAGATAAGCGTGTGGCCAGCGCTGCAGCTTGGGTCAGGGTGGCCGTCCGGGGGGTCGGCTCCACAGACACCACCTTCAGGAAACCAAAGTTTGATGGGTTTAGGGTTTAGGGTTTAGGGTTTAGGGTTTAGGGTTTAGGGTTTAGGGTTTAGGGTTTAGGGTTTAGGGTTTAGGGTTTAGGGTTAGGGTTTAGGGTGTAGCGTTTACGGTTTAGGGTTTACGGTTTAGGGTATTCCCCGACACAGAGCCAGAACTAAGTGGTCCAGGCACGCGACAGGGGGCGAATTCGAAAGCCATTCGCGCGCCCGCACACCCAAACACAGAATGAAGAATTCAGGGTGTTTAGGGTTTAGGGTTTAGGGTTTAGGGTTTAGGGTTTAGGGTTTAGGGTTTAGGGTTTAGGGTTTAGGGTTTAGGGTTTAGGGTTTAGGGTAAGCCCGAACCCAGCTCACTCAGCCCAGGTGGTCCCAAGTGAAAAATGAGCGCCACAACACCTCGACCCTAAACCCTAACCCCTAACCCCTAAACCCTAAACCCTAAACTCTAAACCCTAAACCCTAAACCCTAAACCCCATGCAAGACGTGATCCACTCCAAGCTGGTGGAGCCACCCCAAACGGGCCTCTCCCTCCTCAGCCTGCACTCCTGGCTTCGCGTTTTGGGTTTACTGGTGCGTAGGGTTCTTGGCTGCACTTAGGAGGGTAGCTATAAATTACATTTTTAGCTGCCTTACTAGGAAACCCAATAAATTAACCCAAAAAGGCTCAGGATCTAAAGCTACAGTAAAGCACCACAGAGGGTTGATAGGGTTTTGGGGGGTTTATAGGGTGCAGAGTATTAAAAGGGTATTAGGGGTACATAGGGTTTCTAGGGTTTTGTAATATTCATTCCATGGCTGGGCAGTAGAGTTCAGGGAAATGCAATGAGGGATTTAGGGTTGAGGGTTCAGGGTGTAGGGTGTAGGGTTTAGGGTAACCTAGGAATTGCAAAAGGGCACTCTTTCTTTGGCTGAAAGGGGCTTAGAAGGGAGCCTACACCCCAATGATAGGGAATAGGGGCAAACTCTGGGTCCTAGCATACATACAATATACCATGCAGACAGATACATATACATACACATACACATATACATATACATATACATATACATATACATAGATAGATAGGTAGATATATACGTATATATATATATATATGCATTCAAGAACCCTAAACCCTAAACCCTAAAGGCCTTAGTCTGACAATAAAGGAAAGGCAGCTGGCAATCCTCATCCTGCGTCTCCAGCCGCCAGGCTAAACCCTAAACCCTAAACCCTAAACCCTAAACCCTAAACCCTAAACCCTAAACCCTAAACCCTAAACCCTAAACCCTAAACCCTAAACCCAAAACCATAAACCCTAAACCCTAAACCCTAAACCCTAAACCGCAATGGTCGACAAACTGAGGCCGCCGGAGCTGGTCGAAAGGTCGCGCTCTGAAGTTGGTACAGACTTTCACTGAGTTGGCCCCTTTCTGAAGCCTCTAGAGAAATGTTCCTGAAAATGATTCTCTTATAGGGTTCTTAAGGTAGGGGGGGCTCATGGGGGTTTAGGGTTTAGGGTTTAGGGTTTAGGGTTTAGGGTTTAGAGTTTAGGGTTTAGGGTGGACCACGAACTGTAGCGTTAAGCAAAATCCTGAACCCTAAGCCCTCAAGCCTAAATTTTGATCCTCAAGGCGACTCGAGGAAGCCTTAGAAGCGAACGAAGGTTCAGTCGCGCATCATTCCGGAAACACCCGACCCCCAGCCCTCCCCAGGAATCCCAAACCCCACGCCCTGGCGACGAAAACCCGGAAACACTCAGCCCACACACTCTCAAGCCGGGTGTCCTGGTTGCGGCATGGCTCCCTCCAGGAGGGAGACCTCATGTTTGCCACAGCTACCGTACATTCCTCAACCCAGGACAAGAAAGACATCCCCCCCGCCTCACCCCCTTATATTGGATTTCGGGTTTAGGCTAAACCCTAAACTAAACCCAGTTAGAACTGACCTCCCCTGAACAGCTCACGTGTCGTGGGCCCGCGGGTCTGTCTGATTGCATGCCTTGGGACGCGCGCATGGTCACTTCAGCTAGGCGGCGCGTCTTGTACCCGACGCCCTAAACCCGAAGCTCTAAACCCTAAACCCTAAACCCTAAACCCTAAACCCTCAACCCCAAAAAACCCCGGCGATGCATGACCGTAAGTGACCATAAACATCCCTAAGCCCTAAAGATCCAAGAGCCCAAGCCCTTGTACCCTCGGAAGGGTTTAGGGTTCAGGGTTTCGGGTTCAGCCTTTAGGGTTTTTGGTTCAGGGTGTGCCTGCTGTACAGTTTGGAGCTTCTCCTAAACCCCCTAAATCCCCTAGAGCCCCTAGAGCCCCCAGAGCCCCTAGAGCCCCTAGAGCCCCTAGACCCCCTAGACCCCCTAGACCCCTAAACCCTAAACCCTAAACCGCTTCGGGGTTGTCGGGTTGCAGCAGATCTCGGAAGCGCGCCCTCCGCTGCAGATCTAGGAGCATGAGCTGGGTGTCGGAAAGCGCCTCAAGGGCGGTTTTAGGGGGTAGGGGGTTTAGGGTTTAGGGTTTAGGGTTTAGGGTTTAGGGTTTAGGGTTTAGGGTTTAGGGTTTCGGGTTTCGGGTTTCGGGTTTCGGGTTGAGGGTTTAGGATTTAGGGTTTAGGGTTTAGGGAGTTTGGAAGTTTAGGGGGCGTTGGGGGGTTTAGGGGTTTAGGGGCTCAAATTTGGGGGTGTTTAGGGGCTCAGGGAACTTCATGGGTTTGGGTGGTCATGAGGTTTAGGGTTTAGGGTCTAGGGGGAGTTTATTAGGGTTGCTGGCAATTCTAAGGCTCCCTAAGTGCAAATCTCAACAGAACACCCTTGAACACCAGGGAGTCGCTTCCGAACAACTGCACGGGTCCAGGGTTCAGAAGTTTTGGGGTTTAGGGTTATGGGTTTGGGGTCTAGGGGTTCAGGGTTTAGGGGTTTAGAAGTTTAGGGGTTTAGGGTTTATGGGTTTGGGGTCTAGAGGTTTAGGGCTTAGGGGTTTTGGGTTTTTTGGGAGCCTTACTTCTTAGGGTTGTATACTTGCGAACCCACTCGCCGCTAGAGCCACAAAGCAAGCCCCGCCGACTCAGAAGAAAGGCTTGCAGCTTTGCCACGGCTTGAGTAAGACCCACACAATCCGAAACCTAACCTCACACAGGAGGCAAGCTGTTGCCGACATCACCCTAAACCCTAAACCCTAAACTCTAAACCCCAAACCCTAAACCCTAAACACCCTTGTCAATAATTACACAGGAACACTCTATTGTGGCCGTGGTCCTCTACAGCTGCAGCCGGAGCCTGCGATTCGTCGCTATGCGCCGGTTCGGCCGCATCCACCTGTGACATTCAGACCAGGGAAGGGCTCTCCCCTACCCATCCTAAACCCCCAACCCCCCAAAACCCCAACCCCCTAAACCCTAAACCCTAAACCCTAAACCCTAAACCCTAAGCCTCAAACCCTAAACCCTAAACCCTAATCCCCCCCCCCCCACCATCGCCTTCTTCACAGGCCCGGCTTCCAACGCTTCCAGCGCTTCCAGCCTGCGGAAGCCGGAGCAGCAAGACTTGCTGGGAGGTTTAGGGCTTAGGGTTTAGGGTTTAGGGTGTTTAGGGTTTAGGGTGTTTAGGGTTTAGGGTTTAGGGTTGAGGGTATTAACCAAATGAACCCTACAAGGGTTTATGGTTTATATACCTTCATAGAATGATAGTGGTATAGGGTATATGACCCCAATTCTTGGGGCTCATTTGGTTCTCAAGGTGGGGGAAAGAGTTGAGGGAGGTGGGTGGGGGGAAGGGGAGATTTAGTTCAGGGTTCAGGGCTCAGGGTTCAAGGGGGTTTAGGGTTTAGGGTTCAGGGGATTCAGGTTTAGGGTTTAGGGTTTAGGGTTTAGGGTTTAGGGTTTAGGGTTTAAGGTTTAAGGTTTAAGGTTTAGGGTTCGAGGCTTTTGTGTTCAGGATCTGGGGTGCTTGCCGGTTCGTAGCGACCTATAGGAGGAGATGTGGAGGAGACTGCCCAAGCGAGATTGGTCTTATAGACTTAGGGGCTGCCAAGATTTCTGTGAAGAGATTTTGATGTTTACGAAACATAAGGAACCCCGAATATAGACCCAAAAATAGCAGGATTAAGGGTACCCGAAACCCCCATGTGGGAACCGCTCCTACCACCGGACCCCTAATATAGACCCCCCAAATAGTAGGATTCTCTGACAAGAAGGACCCCAATAAGGTACCAAGAAGTTCGGAAATCCCCCTTTTCCTGGCTTTGGGTGTTCGGGTGTGGGTTTAGGGTTTAGTTTAGGGCTTAGGAGTCAAGGTTTAGGAGGATTTAGGGTTTAGGCTCGTGGGCCTTCGCAGAATGGAGCTCTCCATCTCCTCGTTCAAGCTCTTGGCGCTGGCAAGATCCTAGGGATCATGCGGGGGCAGTGAGGGTTGGGGGGGGGGGGGGGGCGTTCTGAATCATGGTTTAGGGTTTAGGGTTTAGGGTCTAGGGTCTCAGGTTTAGGGGGGGAGCGTTCTGAATCATTACGTAGGCGTCTTCTTTGAGGGGTCTTATTTTAAAGGTGGGAGGGGGTAGTCAAAAGCCAGAGTCAAGGTTGGAGGGGTCAACCCTAACATTCTCTGCAGATCAAAACTGCCGAAGCTTGCTCCTCAATCGTGCAGCTGCCTTCTACGACGTCTTGCCTTAGAGAGAATACAGTCTCCCTTAAAGGGCAAAGCCCCAATAGCGGGGAACCTACCTCTGGGAAAGCCTGTTGGGCCACATGGCCGAAGTGTCTAGCAGCCTCGCAACACAGCACCGCGTTATGGAGCAGGAACACACCCTAAACCCTGTAAACCCTATAAACCCTGCAAAGCCCAAAAGCCCTCAACACCCTGCAAACCCCATAAACCCTGTAAATCCGATCATCCCTAGAAAAAGAAAAACACAGAAAAGAAGAATAAAAAGAAAAACAAAAGAAAAAGAAAACCCAACACCCTATGAACATGACCTAAACACTATAACGCTCAACACTATACACCCTAAACCCCCAAAACCATACGCCCTAGCAACCCTACGCCTATAAAACCCTAAACATGTACACCATAAACCCTATAAACGTTAAACCCTCTAAGCCCTACAGGCCTACACCCCATCAAGCCCTACAAACCCTAACCCTGAACCCTAAACCCTAAACCCTGAACCCTAAACCTTCAACTGCCCTAAACCCTAAACCCTAAACCCTAGGGGGCAAACAGGATCCTTGGAGAGCCTTACGGAGGTCTCAGATTCTGTGGGAGTCCTTGGGGGGTGGGGGCCTTGTGTGGAGGCCCCCAGTTTAGGTTTAGGGTTTAGGGGGTTGGGGGTTTAGGGTTTAGGGTTTGCTAGGTACGGGAACTATGGTTCCTACATAAAGTAGCCATGCACCTTGAAGTACTCATGGTACTTATTAACCAATTACAACTGCACTTATAACCCACTTGTAAGCCCCTTAAGTGCCCTAATATGGTTCTAAGTACAGCTATACTTGGTTGATGAGTACCCGGAACCTGCAAGTAGGGCTAGGGCCACCAAGGGTGCCTCGTGCGAGCTCGCACGCAGCTGCATCTCCAGTGAGTCCAGCCTTCACAATCACCGGCTCGCACTCGGGGGGGATATTCAAGGAACTCCTCGCCTCATGCCCAAGAATCCCCAATACTAATTACCCCCACCCCCCCACCCTGCAACTTTTGGGGTGTTTGGTGGCACTTGGGAATCTGGACATTGAACCACGTACAGTTTTTGGACTTGCCGAACTGCGGGGGAATGTCCAAAGCAGAACGCGCTTCGGAGCTCCCAGTCTGTTGGCTGTGGGCCCAAACAGGCCGTGGGCCTTGGATGATGTGCAACCAAAGGCAATACCGCTTGCTCCTGAACCCTAATGCTTCAGGCCGAACACTGCTTTACATCATGAATCTCCTGATGCTCACCCCAAACCCTAAACCCTAAACCCTGAACCCTAAACCCCAAACCCTAAACCCTAAACTCTGGTGCGTACTGGTACAGCCATGTTCTAGTCATGGCTCGACAAAAAACGACGTGAAGTCGGGGCGACTTTCGTTTGTTGCACGAGGTCCCTACTAAACCCTGCGAGGGTCTTCCGGAGTCACGCATGACAAAGATTCGGGGTACCCTTACTTGGGGTCCTTATGATAAGGGAATCTTACTACTTAGGGGTCTATATTACGGGTCCTTCTTCTTCTCGTAAACTCCCACATGCCTGGACGTCACTCCGTCCAGTGCTCGGGAGCTGACTTCTGCGAGGACCTGGACAGGAGATGTTACGTGTCTGAGGGGCCAAAACCGGACCCTAAACACTAAACCCCAAACCCCAAACCCCAAACCCCAAACCCCAAACCCTAAACCCCAAACCCTGAACCCTAAACCCTAAACCCTGAACCCTGACCCTGGACCCTGGACCCTGGACCCTGGACCCCTACATGGACCGCAACCACCCTCAGCTCAACGGCCCACCTGCTTCATGCCTATGTTCAATGACCGGGTTGGTTTGGGTTTGGGGTTTGGGGTTTAGGGTTTAGGGTTCAGGGTTTTGGGTTCTGGGGCCCTTCGTAACACCCTAAATTACATGCCAAAGGCGTTAAAGGAGCCATGGAACCAAGGTTGGTTAGGGTTTAGGGTTTAGGGTTTCAGGTTTGGGGTTTAGGGTTTAGGGTTTCGGGTTTGGGGTTTAGGGTTTCGAGTTTGGGGTTTGGTGCTTGGGGCTTGGGGTTTGGGGTTTAGGGCTTCTAGGCTTCATCTAGGGTTTGGGGTTTAGGGTTTAGGGTTTAGGGTTTAGGGTTTAGGGGTATCATTTAGAGAACTACCCGCCAGATGAGTACTTCGCAAACCCGGAGTTCCACCATCATCGCCTTCTTCGTGGCTTCAGGCTCCGCGGCTTCCAGCACTTCTAGCCTGCGGAAGAAACGCTACGCCCGAAACCCTAAACCCTAAACCCCAAAACCCTAAACCCTGGGTGGGTTCGGGGCGCTACGAGGAGCAACGATGGTTGAAACAGCCCACAGACTGATACCGCAGGAACCCCCAGGGGGGCTTAGCATTTGGGGGATTGGTAATCAAGTATGTGCCACATGCCGGAGTCTAGAAATGTGAAGATGTGAATTGTTCAGTCCAGTTCTGGCCCGACACCACGCGTGATTCCATTGTTGCTCCAGTCCGTTTTTTCTAGAGTTGCCACATGTCTTGAAACTTTTCTGCTCGCAAAATCAGAAGGAATGTTGAACTTGCTGTGAACTCTTTTTCCATCAGGCTCAACTCGGAGCAGTTCTCGTCACCGTTGCGGAACTCAGCACGATGCCCCCACGCCAACACCCGAACTTCATGCCCAGCCAGAATGTGGCCAGGTTGGACGAGTTGGGTTTAGGGCGTGGGTCCCGATACACACCACCTGAGCAAGAATCTTCAGGCAGCCCAGCAACCCAACCCAAGGCCTAAGACCAACAACTACTTCTAGGGTGTATGAACTCATGAACCCTAAGAGGGACATCGTGCGCTGCTGCTTTCATCACAGGCGCGTGCTGGCTGCTTTCAGCATCGACGCGCGATTGTAATTAAAAAATCTGGAACACTCGGCACGAAGGCCGTGGTCATTTTTCAGTTGAGATCCCACCACCTCAGAATCGAAACCCGAAACCCGAAACCCGAAACCCGAAACCCGCAAACCCGAAACCCCAACCCATAGAGGGTTTTCAATCAAGTTCTATATGCCTTAAACCCTGAATATCATGAGCCTGAAGCCAATCCCAACGACTCCAGAGCCAACCTGAACAATCCCTTCCCCCTGAAATTTACCCGAATTACCCCCCCCCCCCCCCCCCCACCCCCTAACAGCAAATACCCAGTCATATCGTAGTGTATGGGAAAAATTCATATTAGGGAAGGGGGGTGTAATGCAGGGGGAGGGGATTACCTCACTTAAGCTATGCCTAGGGGTCGGATCTTCAACGACCTGACGCTCTTCGATGTGCGTGTGGCTTTGTCGATCTTGGTGTTGAACCCCGAACTTCTGCTTCTTTCAGGTATGCGGTTCACGTACCCCCTACCCCCTAACATTAAAGACTCCCATTCGAGTCATATTACCCTAAGGGTCCATGTACCTATGTAGTACATACTTGGGCCTTAAAGGGGCTCCTATATAGTAGCTTTAGGGCCCAAATATATACTATATAGGTACATGGACCCTTAGGGTTATGCGTAAAATCAATATAAGGTATGCGGTTCAGGGCTTAGGGTGTAAATCATGCCGAAGCCCGTCGCCTGGTCACGACAAGCTCGACGAACAAAGCAGCAGACGTGAGATGGGGGTTTACGAACATAGGGGACCCTACAATAGGTCCCCAAATGGTCGGATTCCCTTATTCAAAAGACCCAAGAAGGTACCCCTATATTATCGCAAACCCCCAGATCGTGTGAGCCATGATCTATCCACAATCCTAAACTTCGGCACCTGTGCCCCTGCGCATAGACAGTCTCAATCGAGACCAGTTTGGGGGTCCCGTCCCAGCTTAGGGCTTACTTGGAGGTTCATGGGTACTTAGAAGTAGGGTTATAAGTAGGGCAACTATGGCTATGACCATATTCAAGTAGGGCTTAGCTGCTGGGTGCAACTCACTGCGCCCGTCGCGTGAGGTCTGGAGGAAGTGGCGCAACCCGTCGCCGTTGCACCAGAGCGTTCATGTAGTCACTGTAGTCGGCTGCCTCAAGCTTATAAGGTGCTTTCGGGGAAGCAACGAGGAAAGCTCGGAAGGGTTGAACCCTTAAAGCCTTGGAGACTTCCAGGATTTAGGGTTTAGGGTTTAGGGTTTAATTAGGGAGCTTCGGTGGCTTAGGTCTGGTGGGCCGGCTCATATGCTGGCCCCGGCACATTCGCGTCCTCTGCCCTAGTTTCTTTGCTCGGGGAAGCTGGGCAACTGCTCGCTCGCGCGCGATTGTCTGCTGGTGCGCCTTTGAAGTCAATGAACGTCAGCCGGTACCTGGGTGATGACTCTGAGCCCTAAACCCTAAACCCTAAACCCTACACCCTAAACCCCAAAAACCTATGGCATGAAATCGTCAACGACAAGGTGTCGGCGAGGTGCATGAGCCCTCTGTCCATACTTGGCAATGTTCAAACTTCCCGTTGCGCTTGGGCCAAAATCGGCTTCCACTTCGGCGATAAACCCTAAACCCTAAACCCTAAACGCCCTAAACGAACTAAACGCCTTAAACCCTAAACCCTAAACCCTAAACCCCAAACCCTAAACCCTAAACCCTAAACCCTAAACCCTAAACCCTAAACCCTAAACACTAAACCCCTACCACTTCCGACCTTCTTCGCGCATGTCGCTACTTAGCATGATGTGGGTGGGCGAGGCGGGCAAACAAACCGCAAGATGCTCCTGCCTTTGATGATGGGGGTTGGGGGGGTTTAGGGTTTAGGGTTTAGGGTTTAGGGCTTAGGGCTTAGGGCTTAAAGCTTAGGGTTTAGGGTTTAGGGTTTAGGGCTTAGGATTTAGGGTTGAGGGGTTTAGGCTCGCGGGCCGCGAGCCTTCGCAGAATGGAGCTCTCCATCTCTTCGTTCAAGCGCTTGGCAGTGGCAAGCCCATCCTCACGGCCACGGAGAAGAAGGGTCTAGGGTTTAGGGTTTAGGGTTTAGGGTTTAGGGTTTAGGGTTTAGGGTTTAGGGTTTAGGGTTTAGGGTTTTGAGTTCAGGGTTTAGGGTTTAGGGTTTAGGGTTTAGGGTTTAGGTCCACTCCACGAGCCTCGCTCGCGCGCTGCTGCATCTCCAGTGAGTCCAGCCTTCCCAGCCAGGGGGCTTTGAATGAAAGAGGGTCTTAGCTTCACCCCAAGAGTTCCGAATTTTGTGTTTAGGGTTAGGGCTTGAGGGTTTGGGGTTGTGGCTTCAGGGTTGAGTACGCTTCAGGGTTTCTATCTATCTCGAAAACCTCCCACCCCGCATTCGGGGGGAGGGAATGATCAAAGTCAAAGGGAAGTTGCATGGCACAAGGGGACCCCCTATATACTACTTATTCACCTTGTAGAACCCATACATCAGAACCCTTTAAGGGAGGTAAAAGGACCATATTCAGCGACCATGTAGCTATGTACTTTAAGACAAGGTGATAGCCCATCTCCCTGGGCTATGGGCTACATTCCTTCGCTTTACTTGGACTGCTTGAGCGGTAGAGCGTGTGAGGTAGAGTGTGTTCACTAGCATCCCCCAAGGGTTTAGGGTTTAGGGTTTAGGGTTTAGGGTTCAGGGTTTAGGGTTTAGGGTACCAATATTTACAAGGAACCCATATGCAGGTGTCCAAGCGGCCGGCTCTGTGATTGGCTTTTGGAGCTAGGCTGGAAGAAAGCACAGGTAGTCGAGTCGAGTGCTCCCCTGTTCCCTATGCCCGTAAATGATCCATAGATGACCCACCCCAACCGCACATTCTAAAACTCGACCACGATGAAGCTCTGCACGAAAGCGCGAATCAGTTCGCTTGCACGACTTCCCGATTAACACCACGAGGGACTACCCTAAACCCTAAACCCTAAACCCATATAATGCCTGGACGTCACTCCGTCCAATGCTCGGGAGCTGTCTTCTGCGAAGGCCTGGACAGGAGGATCATCGGGTCTCAGGCCAAAGCAGGTCGCTGGGCTCAACAACCCGAATAATGGTTTAGGGTTTAGGGTTCAGGGTTTAGGGTTGAAGGGACAGCATGTGGCGTTGAGCTGCGTTGAGCTACGAGGCCTTTTCAACACCCGGAAAGATAAGGAATTGACCCATGGTCCAACAGGCGTTCATGAAGGGGTAGATGGAGGGGCCCCCAGAAGGGACCCTTTATCTTACTCCCCCAAATAACCCCTACATATACCTAAACGAGTGGGATCCCGGAGGTTGGTTAGGGTTTGTTTAGCGTTTAGGGTTCAGGGTTTAGGGTTCCAGGTTTCGGATTGAGGTTTACTTGCTGCGGGCTCTGGCCATGTTCGGAGCATAATAAAGCTCAAGGCGTGCTTGCCTGAAGCAACATAGCTATCGCCACGGCGCATGGAGTGCCCTTGTAGAAGACAGCATGAGGGTTTAGGGTTCAGGGTTTAGACTCTGCTTCGAAATCCGAAACCGCTGAAGGTTCAAGTGGCAAGTGAATGAATATTTGCTTAAGAACCCCGCAAAACAATGGACCTGTATTACCCTCATAAGGAAGAATACCCGTGTTTTATGTGTGTGTGTGTGTGTGTGGGGGGGGGGGGGTTCTTAAGCAATTGCTAGCTATGGTAAGCTCTAATGCCCTGATTACAAACCATGCGGGTGAGGTCTGGCGACCTGTCAAAGGAGAGAGATCAGGGAAACTCTGTTCAAAGATGGCAGTAGTGTCCTGAACCTCCCGACTCGTCCTTCGATGCTAAACCCTAAACCCTAAACCCTAAAACCTAAACCTTACTAAACCCTACTAAACCCTAAACCCTAAACCCTAAACCCTAAACCCTAAACCCTAAACCCTAAACCCTAAACCCTAAACCCTAAACCCTAAACCCTAAACCCTAAACCCTAAACCCTAAACCCTAAACCGCCCCGGGTCAAGTAAATCGCTAGGCAACGGCCGGAAGCATCACTTAAACGCGCGAATCCATGCCCGTGCCCCCAGGGCCCTGGAGGTGCGACCGACCTACAATCTATAGTCACAC